GCTCAAAATGATCAATACAAGTGGATGATTATTATAGTATTACTGATTTTTCTATTTATTTTAATGCAGATTGCCATCTAACTGATATTTATAAAGAAATTAAACGTACTGCTTCGCTATTCACATAATTTAATTTGTCGTTTGAAATGCTGTTCAAATGTAACTACAAATTAAATAAGAATAGTACAATATTACTTTATCCCAATTAGGCTATATCTTACTGTAGTTCAAATTGTAATTAAGCTATGTGTCTAGACTGGTTATGTTGAAGTGAAGCTATTTAATAAGTGTTTTAATATGATGTATTAAACCACATACTTTTTTCTAAGCAGCAACATCAACAAAAACCACTACCGATGATGCTGATGCCTTGGCCAGCAGAATTGAGGTCCTGGTTGCAAGTATAAAGAGACGCTCTCAGCGACTTTATAAAGATACAGACGGCAACAAAGCTCGTGCCCGGATCCGGTGCAAGATCAGGAAGGAGAAGGAGATCCTAACCTTGGTTGTAGAGAGTTACAACAGAATGGCTCCAAGTACAGAAAATCTTGTTTCTGTAAACTCTGTTGGAGGAGAACGCTTGGCCATGGCAGCTACCACACAGTGGTATGCATATAAGTATGTATATAAGTCTGTATAAGTCTGACATATTTTTTACACAATTGTGTCTCTTCCATGAATGCAATCCAGACTCTGTCGATCTAAAGACCAAGAGAAGGGCATTTGACATTGTCAATGCAATAAGGAGGCTCCAAGAGGAGAAGAAGATTGTTCTCATTGAGATGGACCACCATTGGAGAGCTCTTCAAACCCGTGAAGGCCTGAAAGAGCTGTCCTGCCTGCTTTCCAGTGAGACAATGCAAAGTATGTATTTAAATTATAAATGTCATAAACAGAAAAACATTATTACCATTATGTTATTCCAACACTGGCTTTATCTTATTGTGTTTTACTTTTAAGATTTGCCTTGGGTCCTAAGTGAAGAGGGGTTGGAGGTCTGCAGAGCACCATCCTCAGAAAGCGGCAGAACATCACAGAGAGGAAGTTGCAAGCGAGAGCCTGTTACCTTCAAGTTTTGTCTGGAGCAGAAAACATGAATTTCTTGCACAGGGCTTCAGCTGATGACTATGACAGTGACTCTGATTCTGACATGGATTATAAATTGACCCCTTCAACTGGACGATTATGAATATGCTCCTTCAACCCTTCCGGCCCTCCCTGTGTAACCACCCCTTCCTGTACTCAGGATCTAAACAGCCAAGTTACTGCTATGAAACCAAACAGCTTTCTGAGATCAACTATTTCCCAGGATCCGAAATGGGCATCCAACCAACCGTAACCATCATAATCAGTCATCAAAAAGGCTCAGAAGAACACTCCTGACACATCTTCAAACATTGTGAATAGCCTCTTAAAACCAAAATACCACTTAATTTGATTATAGATTACATTGTTAAGGTTAAATGCACATTTTTAAATACACAAATCATAATGCCTTTCAATATAAATCCTGCATACTGTATATAATGTATTCATACTGTACATAATAATGTACTCCATGTATATCCATTCAATCTGTAAATCCTTGTTACAAGTTGTAATGTTAAGAACTAATGTAAACACTCAAAATTGTATTGTAACACTTAGAATTTGTAGATAGAATTTGTATTTATTCAGTTATATAAACAAATTATATATAAGTTATATCTATTTCTGTATTATTATACTGGGAGCAATGAAAAAGCAATATTTCTATGTGTAGGCCTACACATCATTTGTAAATAAAGTGGATTGTTGCAACCGAGTCTCGCATCAAAATGTTTAATAGCTTTGTAGGGCTTTAGGGCAAAAACAAATAAGTTATTTATTGTTTGATTTCGCTAGTTTTGGATGGCAGAAAGTTTCAACCCATCTTGCCTATAAAATAATTAAGGAAATTCTTGCTTAAATGTGGGCAAACCCCTGGGATGTGTTGGAAACCACAATAAATATAATTATTAATTTTATTTAATTTAGAGTAGAACATGCATTTATTTGTACAATTTTTCTGTTTATTTTTTCATGTCATTAAACGCGGCGCTTTGAAGATTGCAGTGAAGTTGGTGAGGCGAAACGTTTGTGTTTTGATATTCAAATGGTTCCGGGTTAACCGATTAAAAGCGACGGACGTTTTTTTCCCGGGTTTCCTTTCAAGAAAAAGCAAATTTCCTTGAAGGAAACCGAACACCAACGTTGTCCTTTCATTACTTTCTGTTTTCACCTGCCCCCACCATAAACAGGTTGGTTAAAAACTGTTGGCATTTTTTAAATCACAAATTTGAATCCCCCATAAAGGTTTGCAAAAGATAAATATGTTTAAAATGGCCCCGCTAACCAAGTTGAAGAACTTGTAGCCGCTGTTCTAAACCATGTTGTTAAACTGTTATAATGTTGTGTTGTATTTAGGGCCTTAGCTTCCCCGTAACGGCGCCATTTTTTTGGGAACACGTGGATTCTGACGCCCAGTTAAAAGGAAACAAAAGTTGTCAGTATATCTTTGAAAGGCTCCCCCACACACTAGTATTTTTACATTGCAATTGTAAGTGATTGTGAAGTTTGTTAATAAAATAAATGTACTTTGTAAGGGTTATTTAAGTTGTTAACTTTGATAAAAGAGTTAAGGTTGTTGTTACACTTTAAATTATGTTTTTAAGTAATGCAATTTAGTGAAACCTTTTGCATTTAATGGCAGAAGGTTAATTAATAGTCAAACATTTGACAGGTTAGAGGGTCCATTGGGAAATACTAACTTTTTAAGTAAGTAAAAAAAAAGAAAGAGGTATTAATTACAGGTTAATAAAACTGTAACAAATGTAATTTAAGGTACAACAAAGTTTTTGAATGTGAAAATTTCAATTCGAAATTATGTGTTTTATTTCAACATAAAAAGAATAAAACTACAGACAGAGTGAAGCGTATTGAAATGGTTTATCCAAGGAAATGTTAAGTCGAAACTTGAAAATGTATAAAGTAAATAATATTGTTTATTATGATTTTGTGTAATAAAAAAAACAACCGCAAGAAGTTATCTGGAAGGAAAAACGAAACCCAAAACACGTGTTTCCTTCATTTACTTTCTTGTTTTCACTTGCACCCATTAAAAACAGTATTCATTTCAACTTGTTTTACCTGTGCGTCCCTTCTTTATTGTGGGACCCGTAAACAAGGTTTCTTGGGGGCTCGTTCCGGGATCGGCGGCCACCTTTAACTGGTCGGAGCGATTTCCCTTTAAATGAAAACTTTCTAGGAACCCAAATAAAACCAGGAAAGTTTGATGCGAGCAGAAGACTGTTAAGCTGGAGCAAAAACGTGGGAAACCGTTGCTGAAACTGAGCGAATCCATCGTGAGTTTGAAATTGGAAAGAGCTGCTTTTCATTGTCGGGGAGAGCCAAAGGAAAAGGGTCTTGGTGTGGGACATTTTCAAGAAGGAAGGCCTACTCTCCTTGTTTTCCAGCGGAAAAAAAACTCCTCCACATTTGCCAAGGAAAAGTGGTTCCAGTGCCAGGGCCAGAACGTCTTGAGCTCGAGGAGGCAGGGACGAATTTGAAAGGCTGCTTTTCAAAAAAAACTACATCAGTTTAATTTATGCACAGTAGCAACTTGCTTGAGTCAGAAGAATTAAGTGGGATGGGCTTCACTTTTGAATGTTGAAGATGCTATTGATTTTGAACAATTTGTTGAAAAAAGGACAGAGAAAGTAAAGTGTACCGCGGTTTTGCCAACCAATTGTAAGAACCCCAACCACTTAGAGATTAAAACCAAAACCAGGTAACAAAACAACTAAGCAGAATTTATTCTTGGAAAAGCTGAGACAAGATTTTCTCAACGCTTTCTTTCCAGTTCAGTTTTTTTAATTGTGTAAGGTGAATTAAACACCAAAAAAATAAACTGGGTTACTGGAAAAAATTGCTCAAAATAGCTATGAAAAAAGAAACCTGGGCAAAAGGTTAAAGAACAAAAGCATTTTTTGGCAACTTGCAAACCACAGGACACTAGAAACCAAACCCCACTGTTCAACCAGCACACACTAATAAGTCTTCATAAAACAGCCCCACAAACTCAAAACAAACGCTTCAGTCTGCTTTGCGCCCAGGTCCGGCCCTTGAGACAAATGAATCTCCTTAAGAGAAGTTCTTTCCTACCTCCAGGGAAGGAAGGGAGTTTTTAAGGTTGCAAAGGGGGTTTCAGGTTGGTGGATTTCAGTCCTTCGGACATAATGCTATAACAAATGTTTCTTAAGCAAATCGGAGGAGAAGGGATTAGAGAAAAAGCGTGTCCATGACGGAAAGACAAGGTTTCGTGGTGTTTGTGCTTCCGAGTCATAAAACCTGGAAACCTTCAAAAAGAAACAATGAATAAATAAAGGGATGACCTGACAGTTGGATGGAAGCTCCAAAAAAGCTTTTTCTCCAGGCCCAACTTTAAGCAGAGAAAAACATACGGGAGTTATTCCAAAGCAATTAAATGTGTGCTAAGAAACCAGGATGATAATGAACACCAAACAAAACAGTTTCCCTTCTAACGAGGATTAGGTTAAAGCAACGCTGTTCCTATTCACCTCCAAAACTTGTCAAACGCAGGCATTAAAAATTACAAGTTCCCAGCTAACTGTTTTTCAAGATGTTTTTCTAAACAATTACGTCTTGCAGGGGAAACTTGGATATAAAACCAGTTTATGTAACGCAAAAGAGAACTTTAAAAAGGCCTTTTTTCTGTCAAGTTGAGGTGAAGTGATGAACAAATATACGGGCCATGTAATGAGAAATCAAACAGTGAGGAGAGTTGAAAGGAAACAAGGAAGAGGATTAAAGGTCCTTTTTTCTCGTCGGCAGGCAAACAAACTAGTGCTTTCATGCGCAACAAAACTTGAAGCTTAAAACACAGTCCAAGAAGAGTTTGTGGCCAACAAACAAAAGAGCAACAAGCACACAAAACAAAAAAAAAACAAGAACCAATTAAAAAGAGCTTGCAAGCTAGTAGGATGAGTCTTTAACCAGCATGGTTTTTGGAGGCTATGAGACAAACAAAAAAGCAAAAAGCCACATCCGGCCCAAGAAACATTGATTACCATAAATCAAATACTTCTCAAAAAAAACAGAGGCAGACCCAGGGAGGAGAGAAAAAACCTTTTGGTTGTTCAAAAAATGTTGCCGAAAACAAAACCGGGCCAGATTGGTTAAACCTACTTGTTTCTATTGGTGGGGAATGGAAGGGCACAGGGCTGTTGGGCCTGTTTTAAAGAGACAAAAGAGAGTCAGGGGAAAACTTCAGCCGCGTTCCAACTGCAGCGGGGGTTGCCAGTGATTCGGATCCCAACCAAATACGACCCCCCAAAGGCTGAAACTTTTCTGGCTGAGGCAAAAAAGCGCGGCAAAAAAACCAGTTGTTAGGGCAAAAAAACATTGAGTTAGCTAGTGCCACAAAGGAATTAAGGTTTAAACCCAAAGCAAAAGATTGAATCCTTCCAAACTTCAGTTTTCCTTTTGCGTTTTCACCAGGGGTTGAAAACGGTAGAACGTTTGCCAGCTTGATAAGGTGAAAAAATCGCTAATTTTACAGGAAACAAAAAAACGGAATTGGCAGTGGGACTTGCAAAGGCGACCCGGTTGCTTCACAGTCAGGTAATCCATAAAAAAGGCCGAGCCCTGGAAAAAGAAAACAAATATTCTGCCTAATTCTGATGTGTCGGACCAATACGGAGAATTTATCGGAGGAATTCTGGACGAGCTAAAAGGTGTAATGTTTTTTGTAAGCTTATTTTTTTCCGTGTTTGTGTTGTTTAATGCCATTATGGACCAACTTGCCAGGAAATATGTAGGAAAAAAAAACCCAGTCTCTATACAGTGTTCCATTCCTAAGTAACAAAGCTTGACATGGAGAGACCAAAATTTGGTTTGTTTTTAATGTTTTGGAGGAAAATCATGAAGGGTCAGCCAGACGATTTGATATTTGCACTTTCTGGTTAAAAAAAACTGCTTCGTTTTGATGCCAATTCAAAGTGTTTTCCGGTGGAGAAAGCCGAAGCAAATTGTTGCAGCTTCTATTTCCGGCAGTTGAAAAACCAAGTTTGTGTCGCAGGACGCCTTAAGAAAACAGTTGTAAAAATGAACATCGTCATTCCCGGCTGGTTTTCAAAAGTCACCTGGGTTGAAGGTGGTCGTTTGTTTCCCCAAACCCCTTGAAACCCCTTTTTCTGATCGTTTTTCTGGTGTTGTTG